CCCCAAAACCCCAAAACCCCAAAACCCCAAAACCCCGAAATTTCTTAATAAATTGAATAAAATGAGTCAGAACCAACAAGAAAAAATCAACAGTAAGCTATCTCGTTGATTTCAGAATCTTTAAAGCCATTTATCGAGAACCTCAGGAGTCACAAGAAGAAGACTAGGTAGCGTCAATCCTTCGTGAAGGTCTAGGCACATGAGCATCGTGAGTAAATCATTCAATAAGTAAGGCCAAGAGTAAGAAGACTGACTGGTCCTTTATTCAGAGGGTTAATAATATGAAATAAGAGGGAAATAGTAAGATAGATAGGCTTTAAAGTATAATTCAGATCTCAGAGACCAGGAATAACCTCATGTATACACGCTGGAAGAACAAGATCGGATCTGTTAAGACGGATAAGTATGAAAATATGATTAAAGAGTTTACTGCATTACCTCAAGTCACTCTTCAAGAGAAAATCAGTATTTTTGAGTTAATTTTAGATTATTACTTTGCAGTGAATCAAAAGGGAGCCTCCTTCGATCTCTCTCGGAGCTTTAGCCCAGATGAGCAATTTTGACAGTTGAAGAAAGATGATAACTGGAGTAATCAATTTTTAAAAATTTAGAATCAATTGCAAGCATAATTTTAAAGCAGGAGCCAAAAACATTTAAATAAGTCGATGGCTCTGATAAATGATTACCAGAAACAAATTTCATTAACTAAACAGACTATCTACAAGAAGAAGACGTAGGAAGTTTGTCCTAAATTTTAGCAAAAATAAGAGAAGTGATACTCTTTCAAGCTTTAAAAGCATCAGGCTTGGGTCATTGCCAGTCAGTGGAAGTCTCTCTATTCACAAAGATTCAACTATGGAGATTCACAAGCCATCTCTAATGGTAATATCTTGGACTTTATCTTTAGAGCATGCCTGATGGTATTTATGAGAAGGAATTAAGTGATGACTCAGTCTCTGGTCACGGCACATTAAAATAACCTAGCTCCTATCTCTCCTGATTCAGAAGCTGCTTTGAACATTAGTAGGGACAAAAATTATTTTAAGGTAAGGCTCGCAAAAAGCCTGCAGCTTCGTTCTTAGGTCAGCTTCTTCATGTTTTCTAGGAACAAGAAGAAATTAAAATTGGAGTTGATGCCATCGAAGAGGAGGATGAAACAGTTTCAATGTGCTCTAAGCCTTCTCTCAAGAGCATTGAAAATACTTCCAGCCAGCATAGGGTGAATTCTGCTATTGAAGAAGAAACCAAATAAGAGTAACAGTTCGTGTGAATCTCTAGCTAAGCCGAAGAAGGGTATCAGATATCGGAAGGCCATCAAGAATCGAGAGTAAATAGTAGTTTAATATTGTAGTAGTGAAAAGTTTAGATTGAGGTCGAAGCTTCACCTCCACAATTCTCAGTCTAATAAGCAAGCTAGTGGAGCTATCAATCGAAGCCAGGTAAGCTAAATTTGGCTTATAAATAGTCATTGAAATAAGGAAACAACATTTAAGTAAGGCTTTGTGTGATTTTTTAGAAGGAAAGCTCAGAAAAAGTAACGATTTGTAATAAATTACAGTAAATTTTCAAGTATCTCATTGCTTCAAAATACAATTCAAGTTCCTAATAATGAGTAATTTAGACATAAACTTTAGCTTGTTAATGAGTAGCACAAATATGAGTATTAGTAGCCCTCTCCAGAAGAGGAGTATACATAATTCCCCAAGAGCATCAATACTCAAGAAGGAAAATAGAGGTATTTCAGTTGGTAATCGTAGAAAATATACATAAGTTTCAGGCGAAAATAAAAACCCTAGTGTCAGAGTCTCAAAATCGAAACTTCAAAATCAGGAATAGGTCGATCGAATACAAGACTCGTACTTTCCTTTTTCCATTTTTATAGCTGGGTTAGACCCTTTATTAAAGATAAAGAAGGCGCAAGGGAGGACTAACTCTCTAGGCAAGATTGGTCTACTCACTTTATAGAAACTGGTAGGAGCTTTAAGTCCAAATAACCCCTATGTTGAGTGAGAAGATCTTCGGAAGAAGATCTTTGGACCTCCTCCTGAGATCAACAAAACTCTTTTAGCAAGAAGAGATTGTGACCACTTTAGAAATTTATTAGATATGATCTCTTTACCAGAGATAGAGTTTAGAAAACTAATTAATGAAGGCCAGAAGCCTAAAATTATACCCTCAAAAGAGACAAAACAATCAATTAAGCAACATAAGATTAGAGTATAAAATAGTTGTTTTAGTTCTATAGGCATTGCAGCTTTCTAAAGATTTGAGATCAAAGAAGAGCCCTGAGTTGATATACTCACCCATAACTCAGGAGAGGAGGGTAAAGCTGAACACAAATCTGCGCGTCTCCATCACTATGGATGAGTTTCTATAACCCCAGTATTTATTCAACCTCTGGAATATTTTGAGGGGTTTTGGGGTTTTGGGGTTTTGGGGTTTTGGGGTTTTGGGG